GTGTGAAAAATATAATTAGGAATAAAGTGTTGATAGTCTTTTAAAAATAAATCAACTTAAGTGCACAATTGACAATACAAAGTGTGCACAGTTTATTTTATGAGAGTGCACTTTTGCTGAATTTACATTTAAGATTTCATCAGTCATTTATAATAATTTAAAAATGTATCATTTCCCTTATTTGAACAGATTTAAACATATTATATAACATTTACAACATAAATTTAAATTTTACATACAGTTAAACAAACTGAATTTATAAAAAGTTTTAAGCAAAACCTTTTTCAGAAGTTGAAACTTGATTTGTTATATAATTCTTAATTTTAGAAAGATTAATGTTGAAATGTTACAAGATTTATGTAATTTAATTAATACAGATTATCGTAAAATGATTTTAATACCATTCCAATCTAGTTCAAGATTATGGTTAACCTAGTTAAATTTTTTCTTTTTTATCAAATATTCAGATAAGATCAAATTATTCTGACAACAGCCAAATTTATAGACAAATCTACTTTGTTAAAAATATTTAAAATATTTCTGTACCTATTTATTTTTTCTGTTACAAATGCTATTTTTAATAAACATTTCATTGAAAATTTTTTCCTTCACTGTATCTTGATTAAAAATAATTTCCTCATAAATTTTAATACATTTTATGGAGTTTGAGAGAAATAGTGGCTTTGAAATTCTATTCAAATATGTACAGTACCTTTGCAACAGATTTTTCAAATTTTATAAAATGACCAGCAGATGAGCCCGGTGTTGCCTAGGCAAAAAACAACAACAAAGATTAAGATTATTAGATTATTTCGTACTTCTAATCCTTTTATTCTAGTAGCTCAGGATGCTTGCTAGTGGGCGTTCTAGCAGCAGCAGTGTCATTCCTTGGTATAAATAATAAATTACTATTTTAAATAAAAATAATAATATACTGAATTTCTCATGGCATACCCTATTAAAACACAGCCAAAAACACAAAAAACCGCATCAAGTAGTAATATACTGAATTTATTGTTCATTTAAATAATAGCTAGGGGCATCCCTAGTGGCCGTTTCTGGTATACTGTGACATAATCCAGTTTTTCAGCTTTATATAGTAGATATGTATCATTTCTGATTAAATAACTTAGATTCTATACTGGAAAAGCATAGTTAACAGTACCCATTATAATCAAATTAAATAATTTAAAATAAATATCCAAAGACCATACTTCTATTTTAGCCAACCATCTAGCGAGCTTAAAAGTTATTTGTTTTGTGTTTAAGTAGTTTAAAATGCCTATTATACAAACCATTATAGGAAAAATAAGTGCCCAAATACTTGATTTTATTAACACCAATAATTTTATTCCTGTTCAAGAACCATTTAGACTTTTTTCTAAGTTTTTCCACCATATTTAAATACTACAATTTTTGACTTTTGAATATTAATCTCAATTCTTTTTTCGTTACAAAATTTAGAAAACCTATCAATATTCATTGAAAATATAACCAAAAAGAAGGGGAACAGGGTATGATAGATGGCAAAAAGTTAATGAGACAAGTTGAACATGATCATCTAAATCAACAAAAAAATCTTTGAAATCCTTAATATATAGCAGACATGGGCAGATGTCTGCTATTGCTGAAAGTGTTAATTTCTGCTTTTTATTATTATTATTTTTACAATTTTATTTGCACAATTTTGTGAAAATATGTTTATTAAAAAAAATTCAATATTTGTTTTATATTATATAATAAAACCGTGGTACAGAATAAAAAAGTACAGAACTGCAGCTCCCATGCATTTTGCAAAACCTACATTTCGGCTCCCACTGAACTCTTGCTTGCCCACCCCTGATATATAGCAATAAAAGGTAAAGATCAAAACTCAGTCAGTCTGTAATTAGTTGTATTATTTTTATCATTATGTTTACGTATTATGCAAAAAAAAATTATTTCGGCCTCTAGAAATAATTCAGAAGTATATATTAAATTTTAGATTTTTCAGTAAATTAGATATGAAAGAATTAGGAGCATAACATATTCAGGAAGGATATTGTGATAGCCAGGTACAGTTTAATTCTTTAACTGAGAAATAGCCACAAACAAGTTGTTGTTCACAAAATTCACCATCTAATAATTCATTATATATTTCATTTTGAAAGCCAAGATTGGCAGCTATAACCAAAGGATTGTTTTCTATAAAATATTTTGTCTGAGCTGACAATGTAATCGGACATTGCATCAGATTCACTTTGTCTTTTAAGACAATTACGTGCTTATCAAAATTCACAGGAATTTCTAACTCAAGTCAAATACCAATGAACATATATCAAATATTTCTATTGTTTTACTTTACACAAATTTTTAGTTTGTAGATAATTGTAATTTTTATGATATCAATATCTAGATTTTTGAGAATTGTATAACTTTTTATAGTAATTTTTTACTCCTGTTTTATTTTGTTTATTTTTTTGTTTTAAGTTCCTATTATATTACTTAAAGATATGCATTAATAAATTATTAAACAATAATCTCATAATTATTTATTTTATGTAAAAAGAAAAAGTTAGTATCATTTTTCAAATTGTCTGAATTATTAAAAGAATTTTATTTAGGATTTTACACATACAATTTGTTTGATAAATTTCTTTGATTTGTCATAAAAAAAAGTAATGTAGTTGGTGTTCAATTTTTACGTGCAAAATAGGAAAATGAATGTGAATTTCCTAAGTGCCAAATTAGTTTTTTCTGTATAAAAATAATGTAAGACATTTTTTGATATACACTTTGTTCTAAGAAAATTAGTGATGTCAGTTCAACATTTTAAATTTATTCTGTTCTGATAAACTACAAGCTTTGTACCAAAATTATGAAAAATATTCAATGAAAAATTTAATTAATTACAGTAGAGAAATTACTGGAATGCCCTGTTTATTGTAAGTTTTTTTATAGTGCTGTATAATAGCATTACTTATGAAATGTTGATAGCTTCTTATTAATATAGGTAAATTAGTAAATTATTCTTTATCATATTTGCCCATGGTAGCAACTTTACAGATGGAAGAAATGGCCAACAAATCTTAACCATCATTTGTATTTTTAATATTCGTGAAAAAAATTTTAAAAAAGAAAGAAGACAAAAAACATTCAAAGTTCAATTGTTTCAATTCTTTGCTGTAAACTTATTATTATTTTAAGATTCTGCATGATTCTAATTAACATTTCTTGTAAAATGCTATTTCTTCTTGTTTTTAATACATTATTTTAATTTTATTTGTAAAATACACTTAGTCAAATGCTTCTGAAATTTTTATTCATTTTTCTATATTAAATATACAAATTGAACATCAACCTGTAATAATTTGCTTTTCTGTTTAAGATTGAAAATAATATAATTTTTAATCTTCTGACTTTGTAATGTTTTTTGTTTTGTTAGATTGACTTATATGTATCTATGGTACATAAAGTCTGACCAAAAAAATCACTTTAATAATGAAAACTGCATTTATTTATTTTTTATTAAATGTGTTATGTTCCTAGTTTACATTTTAAAATAATTCTTAGGAAAATTCGAAGAAAGATATTTGGAGACAAGTTATTCGCCAGCGATTGGCAATTTCACGCAAGTTGAAACAGGTAGTAATGGATATTTATTTAAAAAAAACGCTAGTTGGGACAGTTACTGGCTCATTTTATCACTTTCATCGCTTTACAATATCAAGAACCAACACTGCATATTGATTCTTATGCACTTACGTCTTGGGATAATTCATTATTTGGTATTTTCTCTTTCAGTAAAATTGCAATTTTGCATGTTGAAAAATGGGTATTGTTATAAATTTTGGGTATGTTTGGCATGTCTTTGTAATCTTGTAAGATACACACGAATACTTTCTTTGCACTTGGAAATTGTATGTATGTATGTTTGTGTGAGTGTATAAAAATATATTATTTTAGTTCTAAGATTATTTCAGATGAAATTATATATTTAATTTAATTTCTCATAAGAAGTTTATTTTAATAGCTAATGAAATTTCAATATTTTTAAGTTATAGAATATAATTTTAAATAATACTTTAAAAAATTTTTTTAACAATTGTTAGGATTGGTATCTATAACTTTGAGTTTACAAATATATAAGTTTTAGAATTCTAATATGATATACTTTTTTTAATCAATAAAAATTTTAAGTGATATTAAATCATAAAACAAAAAGAATAAATAAGTAAGACAAAACCTTTCGCACTTTGTTTCTAGCAGTTTAATCACTAAGTACAAACGTTTTTGGCCGTTTTGAATGGCCTTTTTCAGGTACACTAAGGTTGGCTTGGAACGTCGGTTAGCTGATAAAAATTATTATTTTTATCAACAATGACATCACTAGTAAGAAGAAACCTTTGTAAACAGTGACGGCATCTGAATATCTGCTAACCGACGTTCCAACCGACCTTATTGTACCTGATGGCCATTCAAAACGGCTGAAAACATTTGTACTTAGTGATTAAACTGCTAGAAACAAAGTGTGAATGGTTTTGTCTTACTTATTCTAAGTAGTTCTAGCTTTGAATGCATAAAAAGAATAAAGTTTTGATATTTAAAAAATATCAAATAAGATTTATTTTTCAGAAATTCTCAGTATATAAATCATTTGTGTATAAAATAAATAATTCTAGGTATAAAAGGATAGCAAGTAAACATTTTTTTTTTTTTTACTTTTAATTATAGTTGAAATCAAGTTAATGAAAAAAATTGACTAAATTGATAAATTAAGTTCAGAATTCAAGAACTTATACAATATTAATCAAATTTTAATTAAAATAAAAGTTTAAATCTATAATCTTTAGGTTCATTTTCTTACTCTCCTTAGTTGATAAATTCTTTTGTTTAATATACCAATTCTAATTACCTAGTGTATACACTTAATCAGTTTCAATGCAATATATGTTTTATGTATTTATATTATTATTAATTATAAGTTGTTAGCCAGTTATACTTATTAAGTTCATTTATAGGTTGGAATAAATATTTCGTCTAAGGCAAGTATGATTTAGCCAAATTATCCTTAGATATCCAAAATTAGAATACATATATTTTTCTATTAAATATCAAATTTGTTTTAATAGTTAAAATAATTTGAACTTTTCATTTATAAACTTAATGGCAACCGTATTTATAATAATTATTTAAAAACACAAGTTACAAAGTAAAACAGGAAAGATATTGTAAATTTTCTAATCTGCTAATTGTTTTTTCAAATTAATTTTAGTTGCAAAATTGTATTTTTGTAGATAATTGATTACACAAGAAAATTTGATTATTTTTTAACTTGTATACTTTTATAGTATAATTATTATTTTTATATAATCAAGTTTTATCTTAATGACTAAATAATCATTTTCGTAAGAAAGTAAAGTTAATTAAATTTTTATTTTTGTTTATATTTAAGATAAATAAAATTGATTTTTGTATATAAATCCTAAAATAAATTAAGTTCTTTTTAAGCAAAGTGTATTTATTCTTTCTTATATTAATTGAAGTGATTAAAATTAAGTTTAAAGTTACTATCATATATAAGAAAAAATAAACTTTATTAAGGGAATCATTTTATTATTATATCAGTGAAATAACAAAATGTGGAGTCATGTTATAAACTCTTCAAATATGTTTGCTATATTATAGCTTATTGCATTTCTCCTACTTAAGCTGGAGATAGTATGGTAGATGTTTTTCTATCACTGTAGACTTGAAATTAGCAAGAGCCAGAGGAAAGAATAATTAAACTGTATATAATGTATTGCATCATATTTCAAAGATATAAAAGGGAGATGAGGATTTTTCCCTGTAAATGGATAATGATATGGCACTGTAGTGTTATTTTTATCCTGAAAATGTCTTTTGGTTGTCAATAAGATTAGGTTTGTCTATTGAGTGGATGTTGCTATGTTTGATTAGTGATTTTACTTAGTCTAAAAAATTTTTTAAATTTTTTATAAGGATAAGATTATATCTAGCCTTTTTATTTAAAATCTTTGAAATGACTGTGCTTTTCATGAGTCAAATTTCTGACAATTGAGAATTAACTGTAACTCCTAAGCCATGCTTTGGCTAGCATTGATTTAGGCTTACCATTATTATTACTTGAAAAATAAAATTTTCTTGTGCATGTGTTGGTTATGTTATGAATATTCATTTCATGGAAAACAAAATACTCTTTTAGTTATTCATTATGATACTAATGAAAGAATTTTGAATAAAGTGGAATATAATTTGAAACATAACAAAACATTAAATATTTGCTTATGGATATATAATATAAACAAGTGAAGCCTTCAACATATTACAGAATAAAACTTTTTTTTTTTAATGTCAGGTTATTTAGGATTTATATAGCCTAAGATAATTTGAATTTTAATTATTTGACTAAAGATTGGCAGTTATGTTACCATCCTATTTTAGATTTAATAATTATAATTTAATTAATTAAGATTAATTTGGAAGATAAAATCAGTTCACAGTAGGACTCTGAATCCATAACTCTGCTTACCATGCAGTGTCTAAGTTGATTCATTTATTTCTAATTATTAAATTTAATACAAGATGGTGACATAACTGCCTAACTTTAGTTATTCTCTAACTTACATAATATCTGTTCTAAATTACATATAATCTGTATAATTAGACATGTTCTAGTCAGATTGTTAATTTGGCTCTATAACAAACTATAGAGACAGATTTGGGCTTGGTTTTCTACATAATTACATATATATTAAATTTTATAAATATATTATTCAGGAATGTAGCCAGTAATTTGTGAGAGTCACCTGCATGGCTGATGGCTTGTGTAAATTTAGTGTAGGTAGGTAGACTATTGTAAAAATGTAAAAACCTACAAACAGTAATAAAATTATTGTGTAAGGAGGAGCTATCATACAATATGGATGTATATATTATACGCAAGCCATATGCAAACCATTGATATGCATGACAATGTTCCATAAAAAAAAAAGAAAAGGCTGAACATGAACAAGTATTAAATTTTATTCTGCTTTATTTTGTGGCTATTCATGTAGCCTAGTGTTTGAGTATAATACATCTTTTTTCAGTTTCATTCAGCAGTCGATTTCTTGTGATGATTTTCTTCTAAGCTATGTTTATTTTTGAACTTGAATGGGCAGAAGAGTGAGAAGCAGAAGAACATTGGTGTGGGAAATGCTTTCTTGTGTGGCTACATTTCTGATTATTTATATTTTCTGTTTTAATTGAAGATCCTTAGTAATTTTAAAATTTCTCTTAATAAAATTTTAGAGTAGTATTTAATCTAAGTAACTGTTTTTATGAATTATTTTTGCGAGTTAGTCTTATTTCTATATACTAAATTGATAATTGGAAAGTTCTAAACTATCAAAAAGTCTAACAAAATTAGGGTGTCTTTATCAAAATTTCAGGGTATATGGTTTTTTCTTATTTCATGTACAGTAAATTCAATGTATTATTTTTATTCATTAATTGCCATTAATTTCATAAATGAATAAGGAGATTTATTTTAAGTTCTTAACATTTTTCAAACATTTTATAATATAAAACAAAGCTGAATTTTTTTGGATAAATTTCATGCTTATGTTATGTACATAGTGTCTGGAATTTCCGAATACGTTCACATTTTTGTTATTTATCATTTAATTGTGGTCATTTAAATGTTATTTTGTTTCAATGACACTGGCCATCATCTCATCAAGCATAAAATTGACCTAAAACAGACCCCTTAAAGAATAAAATTGTTTAAGAAGTAAAGTAGCAAGTTTACATTTTCAAAAGTATCATTGTATATCTTGAAAAAAAATGTGTAATTAAACAACTTATTTCATCAATGGGAAAGTTGTTTATGGGGACCAAATAAATCCGAAGTAACAAGAATTTTAACTAAAATTTGAATAATAAGACCAGTTTTTAGCACTAAAAAGATTCATTCCATTAACTGGCCTTTATATACAGTGTGAAATGGAGATAAAAACTTTTCAGCAAGTAACCTCAGTCTAGCACATGCATGAGGCCATATTGCCAGACAGTAGCAACATACAGTAAAGGTTCAGAAGATAGGGAAGAAAGATGCAAAGAAAGAGTGAAGGTGGGAGAGAAAGTTAGAATATTAGACCAATGTACAGTTGGTATGAAATTATTTGAACACTTTTCATGGACCTAAAGGATAAATTTGTGTGTTCAACCTCAACTATGATAAAGACTTAGATGTGCTTAACCAGCCTTCCTCTGACCATAGCTAACATGTCAGACATGCTAGATGTGACTGTTTTTTTTTTCCTTATGGTGTGTTAAACTGTAGTATGTAGAAGCACAAAACAATAGCTATGTTGTATCCCACAGAAAAAAATGTCCATTGTAACTAGATCCAGTGATCTAGATGGCTATAAAACTGATTCCCATAGCCAATGCACTGGTTGTGAATAATTTGAGAATACCTTGTCTTGTTGCAACCAGGTGGCATTTCATTCTAACAGGGCATGTCATCAATAAACCCTCGTACAGTGTTCAAAAGTATCATTGCATATCTAGATCCTGAAAGGGTTTTTAAGTAAAAAACAGGTCCTAAGATCTTGTCTTTCCAAATTCCACATCACTCATTTATTAATTACTGCCATTGATGATTTGCTTTCATGAAGTGGGTGGGTTAGCATTAGATCAATAATGTGTGTTAAAAACATATTGGATAGAATCCCTATCTAACCTGTTCTCAAAATGTTCATCTTCCTCAATCTTATTTGGAACAAAATGACAGAAATCTAGTCTTTTCTGAGCATAACCACTCACCAAACTGTTGCCAGATCAAACAGTACAGATGTTAATGGTAATGCTTGAGTGTCTTCATTGTTTTGAGCAAATGTGCATTCTCTGGCTGCTATCCTTATACTAGCAGTCAGATGTACTGTACTTCATAGTATAGCAGATTTCGCCCTTGTTTACATATATTGGCATTTGATAAACATTAATAGCCTTCTCTCTGCCTTCAAATCATCCAGTTGTTTGTTATCACTTTAAGAATCATATAAGGAAGGGGTTGAGGAACACCTCAATAGTGGAAACCAAACATTCTAGCTTCTGCTCTTGCATTGTGTTCATATCAATCATATATAATAACCATGTCACAAAGTTGTTCATTTGATGACCTGCAGCATAATGTAGAATTACAATATTGTATTGCTTTGCAGATTGCAAATTAACACTTGCTACTTATTTAATGCTATGCATGAAGAAAATAATCTAAATTCTGTTTTCATTTGATTTTCAACACCTGATCTGAGACATTCTTAAGATCACTTTATCAAGTCATTTCATAAACAATGTAATATCAAAACATTTGTGTTTTCCTGTATTTACTACATGTGGTGCATTAGCTGTTTGCTGATTTGTATTTTGCTGTTTTCTGGCAATGTGGTCTTCCTGCATATATCAGACTGTGAGGTTACTTGCTGAAACTTTTTAGGGCAAAAAATTGGATTTATTATTCAAATTTCAATCAAAATTTATCTACCTTGGATTTATTTTATTACCACAAACAACTTTTCCATTGAAGCCACAATTTGTTATTTAAGAATTTTTTCAAGATAATAAAATTCTTTATTAAGGAGCCTATTTTAGGTTGATTTTATGGTTGCCATTTGTCACAGAAATAAAATGACATTTAAACAACAACAATCAAATGATAAATAATGGAGATTGACTGTATTTGGAAGTTCCAGACACCCTGTATATTATTGTAATTCTTGAAAATTTGTGGAAAATAAATCTTGTTTATTAATTTTTTTCTTAATTAATAAAAACTTAAGTCTGTAAAATATTCTCAATATATTTTGAATTTCTAAAAAGTTTAATAAAAAGGTTCCTATTTTATAGTGGTTCATTACAAAGAAAGTTTTTTGTGGCATAGTGTTTTGTAAATTTCATTTTGTTTTGATTAAGTGTAACTTTTTCCAATATAATTTTAAAATTTATTAAAATATTTAGTAATAGAAAGGTAAATCTTTCTAAAGATCATTAAAGCATTTTCAGTATGAAGGAACTAAGGAATAAAGTATCATCATTAATATTTTATTTCTTGTACTTGAATGCAATACCTTGTGAGTCTGAATACAATATACTGAACTTATATATTTGTGATATAAATTAAAGAACTAATTACGAATGCCACGTTTTAGTATGGGTCATTTAATATTTAAAATATTAATTAAAAGAAAATGTTATCATTTATATAGGCTGACCATTTTTCTGCATTGTAATTCAGGACATTGAGCCTAGTAGGAGGGGGTAATTTTACAAAAAAAAAATTAAAAATTACACTTAATGAAACAAATATAAATACAATAAAAACTTATTTATTTATTTAAAGCATAAATAATTTGAACAAAAATTAAAAACTTAAGAACTTAAAACACTTAAGAGTAGTTAAGAGTATTTTCAACAGTATGAATTATAAAAATATGCTTTGCAATTAAAATACAATACTGTTAATTTATAGAATGATTATCAAAACAACAAAAAACAGTTTCACGAGTTTAGGAATAACTGTTATAATATAACCACTCTAGTCACAAGTTTGCAATGAGGTTTGCTGCAAACTTCATTACAAAAAAGAGCACACACTCATTGCTGTCAGTGCAAGGCTCTGAAAATAATGCAGTCCGTACATGGAAATACTATAGAAACTAAATTTATTTCCATATTAAACGAATTGTTAATTCTGGGACGTATATCTATCCGGGATGCAGAGCTGGAATCTGGGACTGTCCCAGAAAATCCAGGATGAATGGTCGTCCTACATTTATACTTATAGTTCAACTGTCTTAATCTTTATTAGTACTTAAAATTAAGTGACAAATATATTACATCTAAAGAAAACTCAAATAAATATTTACTTGTGACATTGTTGACATTGTTTTTAACATATTAGAGATATTTCTTTGTAGAAAATATAAATAATGAATGTGTAGTTGTTAAAATTATTATTTCAAAGTTAATTTAACATATTTTATTATTTTTAGATATGTAATATACTCCTAATAACAGATTATGCTTTTTACCAATATATATGCTTTTGAAATAATTTTTTCAAATAATAGTAAAAAATTTTTAAAAATTCAGAACTATCAAACATTTTGATTACTAAAAAATATTATATAATTATACATATATTTATCATTCAGAATATTTCATAATATACTTCTTTAAAAAGCATTTATATTGAAATTAAATGTTATTAGGAAAAATATTAATTCTAAAATTTCCATTCGTAACTCTCACTAAGATAGCATCGAAAAAAGAGTAGTTAATTTATATGCTTTTTAAATGTTCGCATTTTAAAATTATTCAGGATTATATACTAGCATTAATACCTTATTCTAAATTACAGTATAGAATGTCTTTCTCAGAATAGTCAACAATATCTTTGTGTAAATTTTTAAGATTATTAGGCAAGGAAAATAATTTTTTTACAAAATATGTAGATCAATATAGCTACTCTTTTTACAATTTTTATCTTATTATGAAATAACCCAATAATATTTTTTGTTGGCAATGGTTAGGAAACTCTCCCATTAGTTCTTACTTTTTATCATTAATAACAAGAATGGGCTGGAAAGCTCTGTAATGCTTATTGAAATGGAAGAACTTCAAACTACTATCCGATGTGGAAAGAAGTACTATCTGCATTACGGGTGAGATTTTGTCAATTTGGTTTTATTGAAAATGGAATTCAAAAAGAAATTAATTATACTCAATCTGTTTATTGTTTTTTATTGTTTATATTTTCATCTAATGAGTTTTTCATTATAATAGAGTTAAAATTTTGATTTATGAACTTAATAGAAAAACTTTTTATTAAGTGAAATCAGCTTAACTCATAAATCATTTAATAATAAACTGTATTAAATCTTCTCCATAAGAAGAAGAGTAGAAATTAAAAATTTTTAATCTTAATCATAAAAGATTAAAACAAAAATTTTCTTAATTTTACTAATTAATTTAAGTGTACTTCAAAGTAATCAAAATTTAAGAATATATGATTTCAAAATGAAATTAGTTTTCCATTATACTTTGTCAGGAATAATTCCATATAAATGTTAAATTTATAAATTCAAGATTTTTCAATCTTGAAATAACTTATCTAAATTCAAAACGTATTTTGAGAATTTTCTGAGTATCCTGAAATTTGAAATTTTTTACTTCAAAAATTAATTTTTCCAATTGTTTAAAAAAGTTAAGCTTTCAAATTCTTCATTTCTAATAAGAAAAAACTTAGTGACTATTTTGTTTATAGTTTTTAATTTTAGTTTTAAAATATTTTCCTCTTAATACACAAACGGTTCAATGCAACTGTTTTAAGATTCATTAAAGAATTATTTCATAGTCTGTTGGAAAGTATCAGTTATAAGTAAGATGTACCCTGATGTACCAGACTTTTCTAGGAGTCTCCAGAAGAAGAAAGTATACAGTGCTGTGAGTTTTATCTTGTATAATTTTTATTTATTTTGAAAATTGTGGCAACCATACTGTATAATTTTATTGCCTGCTTGAATTATACAGAAGAGCATGCCAGCAGGAATTTAATTATTGATAAATATTTTTTTAATTGTTTATAAAAATATGATTTATTAGCTATTTGATTGCTATGCTTATCAGATTATATTAATAAAATGTTAATATAATATGCCACTTAAAAAATTAACTGTTACTGAGTGAGTGAATGTAAATGTATTTTGGATTTATATATACACTTGCATTCACATAAATCATATTGTTTGCTGATTTTATGATTCCTGTTGATATCCGTAATATAAATGTAAAGTTTTTTCCTCTTTTAACTTTAAATTTATTTCTACTTATTTTACAGAGAGCTGAAGAAGAAAAGGAGAAAGAGCGAGAACGAAAAGAACGTGACAATAGAAGCAAAGATAGAAATAGAGATCGTGATAGTAAAGACAGAGATAGAAAAAGCACAAGTAGACGTGAAAGAACACCTTTACGTGACAGAGATCATGATCGGATTCGTGACAGAGAAAGAGAACATGAGAGATCTCCATTAGAACGTAATCGTGTCAAGGACAGAGCCGAACGTCTTGCTACTCGATCTCGTTCCAGATCTAGAGATAGAGCTTGGTCTCAAGAAAGAGAAAGGTCTAGAGAAAGGTAATTAAAATATTTTTAAAATATTTGAAATATTGTTTTTTCTTTTTAAATTATATATTGCACTCTGAAAAAGTTTTAATAATGTGTAAGATCTTTAATAAATGTGAAATTTTTAAAGTTATTATTGTTTGCTTCATATCTAGTAGAGTCCATTTTGAATACATTATTGTAAGGCTACCAAATGTCAGAATAACAATTGTAAAATCAACTGAAGAGGGACCGAAAGAAGTCTGAAATGCATTTCTATTTCAATAAAGGATATTTTAAGGAGTAAAAGTGTTCTTCTGTGTCTAACCATTGTAACAAATCTAATTTTAAAAAAATTGGGTAGAATGGCCAATTACCAAAAAAAAAATGAAATTCTTAGTTCATGTAGTTAAATATATTATTTTAAGAAAGATTTTTATACACAGTTAAGTATGCAACGTTGTTGATTTATAATTTGAAGATATTTTCCTGAAACAAAACTTCATTTGCATATTTTGTTTATATGTAATTTGATTTTTTTCTCGCATATACTTTAGCATCTTAGATTATTTGCAAGTTTTAATATATTCTTATTCAATAAAAATATTTTATCAAATAAGTATTATATCAGAATCCTTCCTTAGACTGAATTTTTTTTGTTAAAAGTGATTTTGTTCAAAAAATAGCATATTATATTTAAAATTATCATTAATTGTAAATCACATATATATAAAACAAGCGTGTATTTTCTTTAACATTCTGTTTCTGAAGGAATAAATTTATTACATCATTATTATTATTATATCACATTTCCTATGTTTATCATATTTTCAAGAATATAACTCCTATCAGTTCTATAAAATTTTTATTCTGTGAAAAATTTCTTTACAACTATACAAGTGTAATACATTAGTTAGAGAGAGCTTTAACTACAAGAGCAACCACAGATTATAAGTTTCCAATTTTACCAGACATTTAACAACTAAATTTGGTAAATTCATCCAGAACTTTTTGGTAGATTTTGTATAATTCAGGAGATTTAAAAATTTTTGTTTAGTTACATCAGTTTTTTTATCAGTTATATATTATTTTACAGTACACTCACATTTTTAAAACTTTATAAATAAAGTTTTAAAATAATCCTTATGATTTAAGTGAAGGTTTTTATTTCATTCTAGAAAAATGTACATAGAAGAATCTACTTATTTTATATAATTATTTTGGTACTTGCCTGTACCACTGCTGATAAGTAACTGATAATATTAAATGGAATAAGTATGTAATTCCACAATTAGTGGAAATTTTGGCTTTATTGACTAACATTAAAATAACTTGTTAAAACAATTATATAACTTGAAGATTTATTATTATTAAATACTGATTAATCCAGTGTTGTTTAACTTAAATGTTTTTTATTTCAAAAATATTTTTAAAATTATATTTAAGCACTAGTTAAGACTGATGATGATTGTATTATCAGCTGTTTGCACTTAAAAGTCATTTGTCTGGAGGTAATGATAACTGTGACTGAAACTTTGATTTCAAAGAACAAGATTTTATAAGTATTTTAATTTACACATTTTGGGAAATGGTAATTCTGATATTAGACAACTGATAACAATATTTATAGTTACAATAATCAGATTCTGCTATTTGATATATTATCACATTGATTAAATATGAATTATTTATATTCTTTATTTACTATTAAGATTAGAGTTTTTGTTTTATACTTTTGTAAATATGTATGAAGATAAATATATATGTGAATGATATTGGATTTTTGTTAACTTTTGTATTTATTCAGAAACTTTTACAGCTTAGATTTATTGGATTTTTTTATAAACCTAAAATTTTTGGCTTATTTTTACTAACTTATCACACAAGGAATAAGTTTAAGTTCATCACACTGGTATAAGTTTGATTAATAGAAGAAATGCATTTCAGGTCTTAATGGCCCATCTTCAGTCTTTTTATTCTTTACAAAAGAAATAATAGATATAAATTACATCACACATAATAATACAGATAATATTTTTTAAATGTTTTTTACTTACATAACTGATTATTAAGCACAAATTGAAATTAAAAATTGGGCAATTGATTGCATAAAATTTGTATAAAAATGGGTGCTGTATAAGATAAAATTAAGGTAGATAAGTAAAAAACTATTAAATAAATAAAATTAATAAATTAAAAAAGATTTCCTATAAAATAATAATAATTGCTATTACATGTAGATGGGTAAAAAATTGAGGTGGATAATGTTTAAAACAAATTTTTTTTAAAAAAATAAAACATAAATAGAAGTTAAAATTAGATTTAAAAACTTTTTTCAAAAAAGTTGAAATTAAAAACTCTTAAAACTATTATAAAAGTAAAAGTTTTTGAACAAAAAACAAAAAAATACTTTTCTCTAGAAATCAAAATAATTATATATATTCTTCCAAATATCTTCTTTCTAATCAACCTACTGATGGTTAATAGTTTATTTGAACTACATTAAAGTGGGTTTTAATTTTATTAATTTAGGTCACGAGATAAAGATGTAGACAAAGATAGAGAAGATGAAGAGGATGCTTATGAACGTAAAAAATTGGAGAGAAAATTAAGAGAAAAGGAAGCTGCTTATCAAGAGGTATTGATTTATTTTTCATGTCATTTGAAAAATATCATTACTACGTTAATTTCAAATAAATATATCTTATAGATATAAGTATTTATTTTAGCTCTTTATATAAAATATATAAAAAATCAGCATTTATTGCATGAATTACAAAGTAGAGTCCAACTTAATATAGTTGTTAACTTTCATCATTGTATAATTTTAAAGAAATTGATTACTAACTTACTATAATATCAAAATATTTATATTTTTCTTTCAGAAACTTAAAATATAAATATATGGTAAAACTTCTCTAACTCAAATGTCTGCAACTCAAATATTTTTTTTTTTCAACTCAAAGTACTTGGTAGGTCTGAATGGAATAGCATAGGGGTTTAACATCTCCAACTTGAATTTTTATTTAACTCAAATTTCTCCAAGTCAAAGGTTTTCATGGTCCCTGACACTAATTTATGTTAATTTCAATTTCCCTGACCCAAATTTTAATATTTATTCTATCCAAAGTGATCCTAATTATTGGATTTCCATGAAATTTCAGACAGTTGTATCTACAGTCCAACACCTATTTGCAGACAATGTTCCAGTCCAAAATGCTCTCACTTTGGACTGGAATATATGATAAAATATACGATACATCTTGTTGAGATCTCTGTACCTGCAAAACTGATTCTATTAGTTACACTGAACACTTTGCTGAAAAGGTGTTAGCTTTTTGTTTTAAACAGTGCATGTATCAAAGATTCTTAGTATAATGCAAGAAAATAAAAATGTATTCAGAATTAGCATTTTTCACTCTATTGTTCTCTAACTTGAATCATCTGTATTCAAAGTTTATTTCTGCCCATTGAAGCTTCAAGTTAGGAAGTTTTACTGTAATTGAAACTTAGTAATTTAATTATTGTAAAGGAAAATGTCAAGGATGTAAGTACTGCACTGAAAGTCATTTCTTAAACCACACTGCCACAAAACAGCTATTTTTTTTCGAAATTGCATCATTTCTGTATTTCTGTACTATGACATAGTTTTTATAATCATTGTATTATTTAACAATTAATGCAATTTATATATATATATACAGGTAACCCCCATATAACACGGCACTTCTACAGCATGGATTCACTCTAACACAGTTCGAGAATTGGGAACATCCCCCGTATAACACGGTGCTTTTATAGCACAGGTTCACTGTAACATGGTTCAGGAATTGGGTAAAACCCTCGTACAACATAAAATGTAATAAAGGGTGCGTTCTTTTATACCTCCACGTAACTCTGCACAAGCATTCTAATTGTTTTCATGGCCTACTTTGAATGCTCTTTCAACAAATAATCCATTTAATGGTTAAATTTTACAATTGGGACCCTTCTTTTGCCTCTAAAAGCTCATTTTAAAATTATAGATTCCTCCACATGATACTATCGATAGTGCAGGCGCCACAATCTTTCTTTCACCGTTGTTCCTAAATGCCTACAAAGAGCAGTGCACTCCTGTTGCAGAGCGACCGCTATTAACGAATGCACCCAAAAACTGTTACCAGTTGATGATGCTCATGCTGAGATCATCATATAAAATGAATAATCCTCTAGTAAAATATTTACTTAAATAAGTATTTTAGCTATGAAAAAAACGAATAATAAATCCGATTTAAATAAGGATTTAACAACATGTCTTAATTTTTGGAACCTAATCCCCCTTTTTGCACTAGTCCTTTGTTTCGTATAACACGGATTTGCATAACACGGCAATCTTTTGGAACGTAACTCCTGCGTTGTATGGGGGTTACCTGTATATATTTTCCCTTTCCAGTAATGAAGAACAAATGTGTAAAAAGTGGCCTTGCCTTTAACCTTATCTTTTCAGCTTTAATGTTCAATTAATAATGATTATAGTATGGAAAATTTTTATTAAATTGCATTGTAAAATATATAGCATTCAATATTGAAATTTAGTCAGTTAAATAAATTTAAATTCAGTAATTTATCCTTTTAAACTATGTTAGGAAATTAATTTCATAATTTTGATTTTTTTTAGTTAAATAATACTAACTNACAAAAAGAATAAATAAGTAAGACAAAACCTTTCGCACTTTGTTTCTAGCAGTTTAATCACTAAGTACAAACGTTTTTGGCCGTTTTGAATGGCCTTTTTCAGGTACACTAAGGTTGGCTTGGAACGTCGGTTAGCTGATAAAAATTATTATTTTTATATAATCAAGTTTTATCTTAATGACTAAATAATCATTTTCGTAAGAAAGTAAAGTTAATTAAATTTTTATTTTTGTTTATATTTAAGATAAATAAAATTGATTTTTGTATATAAATCCTAAAATAAATTAAGTTCTTTTTAAGCAAAGTGTATTTATTCTTTCTTATATTAATTGAAGTGATTAAAATTAAGTTTAAAGTTACTATCATATATAAGAAAAAATAAACTTTATTAAGGGAATCATTTTATTATTATATCAGTGAAATAACAAAATGTGGAGTCATGTTATAAACTCTTCAAATATGTTTGCTATATTATAGCTTATTGCATTTCTCCTACTTAAGCTGGAGATAGTATGGTAGATGTTTTTCTATCACTGTAGACTTGAAATTAGCAAGAGCCAGAGGAAAGAATAATTAAACTGTATATAATGTATTGCATCATATTTCAAAGATATAAAAGGGAGATGAGGATTTTTCCCTGTAAATGGATAATGATATGGCACTGTAGTGTTATTTTTATCCTGAAAATGTCTTTTGGTTGTCAATAAGATTAGGTTTGTCTATTGAGTGGATGTTGCTATGTTTGATTAGTGATTTTACTTAGTCTAAAAAATTTTTTAAATTTTTTATAAGGATAAGATTATATCTAGCCTTTTTATTTAAAATCTTTGAAATGACTGTGCTTTTCATGAGTCAAATTTCTGACAATTGAGAATTAACTGTAACTCCTAAGCCATGCTTTGGCTAGCATTGATTTAGGCTTACCATTATTATTACTTGAAAAATAAAATTTTCTTGTGCATGTGTTGGTTATGTTATGAATATTCATTTCATGGAAAACAAAATACTCTTTTAGTTATTCATTATGATACTAATGAAAGAATTTTGAATAAAGTGGAATATAATTTGAAACATAACAAAACATTAAATATTTGCTTATGGATATATAATATAAACAAGTGAAGCCTTCAACATATTACAGAATAAAACTTTTTTTTTTTAATGTCAGGTTATTTAGGATTTATATAGCCTAAGATAATTTGAATTTTAATTATTTGACTAAAGATTGGCAGTTATGTTACCATCCTATTTTAGATTTAATAATTATAATTTAATTAATTAAGATTAATTTGGAAGATAAAATCAGTTCACAGTAGGACTCTGAATCCATAACTCTGCTTACCATGCAGTGTCTAAGTTGATTCATTTATTTCTAATTATTAAATTTAATACAAGATGGTGACATAACTGCCTAACTTTAGTTATTCTCTAACTTACATAATATCTGTTCTAAATTACATATAATCTGTATAATTAGACATGTTCTAGTCAGATTGTTAATTTGGCTCTATAACAAACTATAGAGACAGATTTGGGCTTGGTTTTCTACATAATTACATATATATTAAATTTTATAAATATATTATTCAGGAATGTAGCCAGTAATTTGTGAGAGTCACCTGCATGGCTGATGGCTTGTGTAAATTTAGTGTAGGTAGGTAGACTATTGTAAAAATGTAAAAACCTACAAACAGTAATAAAATTATTGTGTAAGGAGGAGCTATCATACAATATGGATGTATATATTATACGCAAGCCATATGCAAACCATTGATATGCATGACAATGTTCCATAAAAAAAAAAGAAAAGGCTGAACATGAACAAGTATTAAATTTTATTCTGCTTTATTTTGTGGCTATTCATGTAGCCTAGTGTTTGAGTATAATACATCTTTTTTCAGTTTCATTCAGCAGTCGATTTCTTGTGATGATTTTCTTCTAAGCTATGTTTATTTTTGAACTTGAATGGGCAGAAGAGTGAGAAGCAGAAGAACATTGGTGTGGGAAATGCTTTCTTGTGTGGCTACATTTCTGATTATTTATATTTTCTGTTTTAATTGAAGATCCTTAGTAATTTTAAAATTTCTCTTAATAAAATTTTAGAGTAGTATTTAATCTAAGTAACTGTTTTTATGAATTATTTTTGCGAGTTAGTCTTATTTCTATATACTAAATTGATAATTGGAAAGTTCTAAACTATCAAAAAGTCTAACAAAATTAGGGTGTCTTTATCAAAATTTCAGGGTATATGGTTTTTTCTTATTTCATGTACAGTAAATTCAATGTATTATTTTTATTCATTAATTGCCATTAATTTCATAAATGAATAAGGAGATTTATTTTAAGTTCTTAACATTTTTCAAACATTTTATAATATAAAACAAAGCTGAATTTTTTTGGATAAATTTCATGCTTATGTTATGTACATAGTGTCTGGAATTTCCGAATACGTTCACATTTTTGTTATTTATCATTTAATTGTGGTCATTTAAATGTTATTTTGTTTCAATGACACTGGCCATCATCTCATCAAGCATAAAATTGACCTAAAACAGACCCCTTAAAGAATAAAATTGTTTAAGAAGTAAAGTAGCAAGTTTACATTTTCAAAAGTATCATTGTATATCTTGAAAAAAAATGTGTAATTAAACAACTTATTTCATCAATGGGAAAGTTGTTTATGGGGACCAAATAAATCCGAAGTAACAAGAATTTTAACTAAAATTTGAATAATAAGACCAGTTTTTAGCACTAAAAAGATTCATTCCATTAACTGGCCTTTATATACAGTGTGAAATGGAGATAAAAACTTTTCAGCAAGTAACCTCAGTCTAGCACATGCATGAGGCCATATTGCCAGACAGTAGCAACATACAGTAAAGGTTCAGAAGATAGGGAAGAAAGATGCAAAGAAAGAGTGAAGGTGGGAGAGAAAGTTAGAATATTAGACCAATGTACAGTTGGTATGAAATTATTTGAACACTTTTCATGGACCTAAAGGATAAATTTGTGTGTTCAACCTCAACTATGATAAAGACTTAGATGTGCTTAACCAGCCTTCCTCTGACCATAGCTAACATGTCAGACATGCTAGATGTGACTGTTTTTTTTTTCCTTATGGTGTGTTAAACTGTAGTATGTAGAAGCACAAAACAATAGCTATGTTGTATCCCACAGAAAAAAATGTCCATTGTAACTAGATCCAGTGATCTAGATGGCTATAAAACTGATTCCCATAGCCAATGCACTGGTTGTGAATAATTTGAGAATACCTTGTCTTGTTGCAACCAGGTGGCATTTCATTCTAACAGGGCATGTCATCAATAAACCCTCGTACAGTGTTCAAAAGTATCATTGCATATCTAGATCCTGAAAGGGTTTTTAAGTAAAAAACAGGTCCTAAGATCTTGTCTTTCCAAATTCCACATCACTCATTTATTAATTACTGCCATTGATGATTTGCTTTCATGAAGTGGGTGGGTTAGCATTAGATCAATAATGTGTGTTAAAAACATATTGGATAGAATCCCTATCTAACCTGTTCTCAAAATGTTCATCTTCCTCAATCTTATTTGGAACAAAATGACAGAAATCTAGTCTTTTCTGAGCATAACCACTCACCAAACTGTTGCCAGATCAAACAGTACAGATGTTAATGGTAATGCTTGAGTGTCTTCATTGTTTTGAGCAAATGTGCATTCTCTGGCTGCTATCCTTATACTAGCAGTCAGATGTACTGTACTTCATAGTATAGCAGATTTCGCCCTTGTTTACATATATTGGCATTTGATAAACATTAATAGCCTTCTCTCTGCCTTCAAATCATCCAGTTGTTTGTTATCACTTTAAGAATCATATAAGGAAGGGGTTGAGGAACACCTCAATAGTGGAAACCAAACATTCTAGCTTCTGCTCTTGCATTGTGTTCATATCAATCATATATAATAACCATGTCACAAAGTTGTTCATTTGATGACCTGCAGCATAATGTAGAATTACAATATTGTATTGCTTTGCAGATTGCAAATTAACACTTGCTACTTATTTAATGCTATGCATGAAGAAAATAATCTAAATTCTGTTTTCATTTGATTTTCAACACCTGATCTGAGACATTCTTAAGATCACTTTATCAAGTCATTTCATAAACAATGTAATATCAAAACATTTGTGTTTTCCTGTATTTACTACATGTGGTGCATTAGCTGTTTGCTGATTTGTATTTTGCTGTTTTCTGGCAATGTGGTCTTCCTGCATATATCAGACTGTGAGGTTACTTGCTGAAACTTTTTAGGGCAAAAAATTGGATTTATTATTCAAATTTCAATCAAAATTTATCTACCTTGGATTTATTTTATTACCACAAACAACTTTTCCATTGAAGCCACAATTTGTTATTTAAGAATTTTTTCAAGATAATAAAATTCTTTATTAAGGAGCCTATTTTAGGTTGATTTTATGGTTGCCATTTGTCACAGAAATAAAATGACATTTAAACAACAACAATCAAATGATAAATAATGGAGATTGACTGTATTTGGAAGTTCCAGACACCCTGTATATTATTGTAATTCTTGAAAATTTGTGGAAAATAAATCTTGTTTATTAATTTTTTTCTTAATTAATAAAAACTTAAGTCTGTAAAATATTCTCAATATATTTTGAATTTCTAAAAAGTTTAATAAAAAGGTTCCTATTTTATAGTGGTTCATTACAAAGAAAGTTTTTTGTGGCATAGTGTTTTGTAAATTTCATTTTGTTTTGATTAAGTGTAACTTTTTCCAATATAATTTTAAAATTTATTAAAATATTTAGTAATAGAAAGGTAAATCTTTCTAAAGATCATTAAAGCATTTTCAGTATGAAGGAACTAAGGAATAAAGTATCATCATTAATATTTTATTTCTTGTACTTGAATGCAATACCTTGTGAGTCTGAATACAATATACTGAACTTATATATTTGTGATATAAATTAAAGAACTAATTACGAATGCCACGTTTTAGTATGGGTCATTTAATATTTAAAATATTAATTAAAAGAAAATGTTATCATTTATATAGGCTGACCATTTTTCTGCATTGTAATTCAGGACATTGAGCCTAGTAGGAGGGGGTAATTTTACAAAAAAAAAATTAAAAATTACACTTAATGAAACAAATATAAATACAATAAAAACTTATTTATTTATTTAAAGCATAAATAATTTGAACAAAAATTAAAAACTTAAGAACTTAAAACACTTAAGAGTAGTTAAGAGTATTTTCAACAGTATGAATTATAAAAATATGCTTTGCAATTAAAATACAATACTGTTAATTTATAGAATGATTATCAAAACAACAAAAAACAGTTTCACGAGTTTAGGAATAACTGTTATAATATAACCACTCTAGTCACAAGTTTGCAATGAGGTTTGCTGCAAACTTCATTACAAAAAAGAGCACACACTCATTGCTGTCAGTGCAAGGCTCTGAAAATAATGCAGTCCGTACATGGAAATACTATAGAAACTAAATTTATTTCCATATTAAACGAATTGTTAATTCTGGGACGTATATCTATCCGGGATGCAGAGCTGGAATCTGGGACTGTCCCAGAAAATCCAGGATGAATGGTCGTCCTACATTTATACTTATAGTTCAACTGTCTTAATCTTTATTAGTACTTAAAATTAAGTGACAAATATATTACATCTAAAGAAAACTCAAATAAATATTTACTTGTGACATTGTTGACATTGTTTTTAACATATTAGAGATATTTCTTTATAGAAAATATAAATAATGAATGTGTAGTTGTTAAAATTATTATTTCAAAGTTAATTTAACATATTTTATTATTTTTAGATATGTAATATACTCCTAATAACAGATTATGCTTTTTACCAATATNGAATTATACAGAAGAGCATGCCAGCAGGAATTTAATTATTGATAAATATTTTTTTAATTGTTTATAAAAATATGATTTATTAGCTATTTGATTGCTATGCTTATCAGATTATATTAATAAAATGTTAATATAATATGCCACTTAAAAAATTAACTGTTACTGAGTGAGTGAATGTAAATGTATTTTGGATTTATATATACACTTGCATTCACATAAATCATATTGTTTGCTGATTTTATGATTCCTGTTGATATCCGTAATATAAATGTAAAGTTTTTTCCTCTTTTAACTTTAAATTTATTTCTACTTATTTTACAGAGAGCTGAAGAAGAAAAGGAGAAAGAGCGAGAACGAAAAGAACGTGACAATAGAAGCAAAGATAGAAATAGAGATCGTGATAGTAAAGACAGAGATAGAAAAAGCACAAGTAGACGTGAAAGAACACCTTTACGTGACAGAGATCATGATCGGATTCGTGACAGAGAAAGAGAACATGAGAGATCTCCATTAGAACGTAATCGTGTCAAGGACAGAGCCGAACGTCTTGCTACTCGATCTCGTTCCAGATCTAGAGATAGAGCTTGGTCTCAAGAAAGAGAAAGGTCTAGAGAAAGGTAATTAAAATATTTTTAAAATATTTGAAATATTGTTTTTTCTTTTTAAATTATATATTGCACTCTGAAAAAGTTTTAATAATGTGTAAGATCTTTAATAAATGTGAAATTTTTAAAGTTATTATTGTTTGCTTCATATCTAGTAGAGTCCATTTTGAATACATTATTGTAAGGCTACCAAATGTCAGAATAACAATTGTAAAATCAACTGAAGAGGGACCGAAAGAAGTCTGAAATGCATTTCTATTTCAATAAAGGATATTTTAAGGAGTAAAAGTGTTCTTCTGTGTCTAACCATTGTAACAAATCTAATTTTAAAAAAATTGGGTAGAATGGCCAATTACCAAAAAAAAAATGAAATTCTTAGTTCATGTAGTTAAATATATTATTTTAAGAAAGATTTTTATACACAGTTAAGTATGCAACGTTGTTGATTTATAATTTGAAGATATTTTCCTGAAACAAAACTTCATTTGCATATTTTGTTTATATGTAATTTGATTTTTTTCTCGCATATACTTTAGCATCTTAGATTATTTGCAAGTTTTAATATATTCTTATTCAATAAAAATATTTTATCAAATAAGTATTATATCAGAATCCTTCCTTAGACTGAATTTTTTTTGTTAAAAGTGATTTTGTTCAAAAAATAGCATATTATATTTAAAATTATCATTAATTGTAAATCACATATATATAAAACAAGCGTGTATTTTCTTTAACATTCTGTTTCTGAAGGAATAAATTTATTACATCATTATTATTATTATATCACATTTCCTATGTTTATCATATTTTCAAGAATATAACTCCTATCAGTTCTATAAAATTTTTATTCTGTGAAAAATTTCTTTACAACTATACAAGTGTAATACATTAGTTAGAGAGAGCTTTAACTACAAGAGCAACCACAGATTATAAGTTTCCAATTTTACCAGACATTTAACAACTAAATTTGGTAAATTCATCCAGAACTTTTTGGTAGATTTTGTATAATTCAGGTAATTCTAAAATTTCCATTCGTAACTCTCACTAAGATAGCATCGAAAAAAGAGTAGTTAATTTATATGCTTTTTAAATGTTCGCATTTTAAAATTATTCAGGATTATATACTAGCATTAATACCTTATTCTAAATTACAGTATAGAATGTCTTTCTCAGAATAGTCAACAATATCTTTGTGTAAATTTTTAAGATTATTAGGCAAGGAAAATAATTTTTTTACAAAATATGTAGATCAATATAGCTACTCTTTTTACAATTTTTATCTTATTATGAAATAACCCAATAATATTTTTTGTTGGCAATGGTTAGGAAACTCTCCCATTAGTTCTTACTTTTTATCATTAATAACAAGAATGGGCTGGAAAGCTCTGTAATGCTTATTGAAATGGAAGAACTTCAAACTACTATCCGATGTGGAAAGAAGTACTATCTGCATTACGGGTGAGATTTTGTCAATTTGGTTTTATTGAAAATGGAATTCAAAAAGAAATTAATTATACTCAATCTGTTTATTGTTTTTTATTGTTTATATTTTCATCTAATGAGTTTTTCATTATAATAGAGTTAAAATTTTGATTTATGAACTTAATAGAAAAACTTTTTATTAAGTGAAATCAGCTTAACTCATAAATCATTTAATAATAAACTGTATTAAATCTTCTCCATAAGAAGAAGAGTAGAAATTAAAAATTTTTAATCTTAATCATAAAAGATTAAAACAAAAATTTTCTTAATTTTACTAATTAATTTAAGTGTACTTCAAAGTAATCAAAATTTAAGAATATATGATTTCAAAATGAAATTAGTTTTCCATTATACTTTGTCAGGAATAATTCCATATAAATGTTAAATTTATAAATTCAAGATTTTTCAATCTTGAAATAACTTATCTAAATTCAAAACGTATTTTGAGAATTTTCTGAGTATCCTGAAATTTGAAATTTTTTACTTCAAAAATTAATTTTTCCAATTGTTTAAAAAAGTTAAGCTTTCAAATTCTTCATTTCTAATAAGAAAAAACTTAGTGACTATTTTGTTTATAGTTTTTAATTTTAGTTTTAAAATATTTTCCTCTTAATACACAAACGGTTCAATGCAACTGTTTTAAGATTCATTAAAGAATTATTTCATAGTCTGTTGGAAAGTATCAGTTATAAGTAAGATGTACCCTGATGTACCAGACTTTTCTAGGAGTCTCCAGAAGAAGAAAGTATACAGTGCTGTGAGTTTTATCTTGTATAATTTTTATTTATTTTGAAAATTGTGGCAACCATACTGTATAATTTTATTGCCTGCTTGAATTATACAGAAGAGCATGCCAGCAGGAATTTAATTATTGATAAATATTTTTTTAATTGTTTATAAAAATATGATTTATTAGCTATTTGATTGCTATGCTTATCAGATTATATTAATAAAATGTTAATATAATATGCCACTTAAAAAATTAACTGTTACTGAGTGAGTGAATGTAAATGTATTTTGGATTTATATATACACTTGCATTCACATAAATCATATTGTTTGCTGATTTTATGATTCCTGTTGATATCCGTAATATAAATGTAAAGTTTTTTCCTCTTTTAACTTTAAATTTATTTCTACTTATTTTACAGAGAGCTGAAGAAGAAAAGGAGAAAGAGCGAGAACGAAAAGAACGTGACAATAGAAGCAAAGATAGAAATAGAGATCGTGATAGTAAAGACAGAGATAGAAAAAGCACAAGTAGACGTGAAAGAACACCTTTACGTGACAGAGATCATGATCGGATTCGTGACAGAGAAAGAGAACATGAGAGATCTCCATTAGAACGTAATCGTGTCAAGGACAGAGCCGAACGTCTTGCTACTCGATCTCGTTCCAGATCTAGAGATAGAGCTTGGTCTCAAGAAAGAGAAAGGTCTAGAGAAAGGTAATTAAAATATTTTTAAAATATTTGAAATATTGTTTTTTCTTTTTAAATTATATATTGCACTCTGAAAAAGTTTTAATAATGTGTAAGATCTTTAATAAATGTGAAATTTTTAAAGTTATTATTGTTTGCTTCATATCTAGTAGAGTCCATTTTGAATACATTATTGTAAGGCTACCAAATGTCAGAATAACAATTGTAAAATCAACTGAAGAGGGACCGAAAGAAGTCTGAAATGCATTTCTATTTCAATAAAGGATATTTTAAGGAGTAAAAGTGTTCTTCTGTGTCTAACCATTGTAACAAATCTAATTTTAAAAAAATTGGGTAGAATGGCCAATTACCAAAAAAAAAATGAAATTCTTAGTTCATGTAGTTAAATATATTATTTTAAGAAAGATTTTTATACACAGTTAAGTATGCAACGTTGTTGATTTATAATTTGAAGATATTTTCCTGAAACAAAACTTCATTTGCATATTTTGTTTATATGTAATTTGATTTTTTTCTCGCATATACTTTAGCATCTTAGATTATTTGCAAGTTTTAATATATTCTTATTCAATAAAAATATTTTATCAAATAAGTATTATATCAGAATCCTTCCTTAGACTGAATTTTTTTTGTTAAAAGTGATTTTGTTCAAAAAATAGCATATTATATTTAAAATTATCATTAATTGTAAATCACATATATATAAAACAAGCGTGTATTTTCTTTAACATTCTGTTTCTGAAGGAATAAATTTATTACATCATTATTATTATTATATCACATTTCCTATGTTTATCATATTTTCAAGAATATAACTCCTATCAGTTCTATAAAATTTTTATTCTGTGAAAAATTTCTTTACAACTATACAAGTGTAATACATTAGTTAGAGAGAGCTTTAACTACAAGAGCAACCACAGATTATAAGTTTCCAATTTTACCAGACATTTAACAACTAAATTTGGTAAATTCATCCAGAACTTTTTGGTAGATTTTGTATAATTCAGGAGATTTAAAAATTTTTGTTTAGTTACATCAGTTTTTTTATCAGTTATATATTATTTTACAGTACACTCACATTTTTAAAACTTTATAAATAAAGTTTTAAAATAATCCTTATGATTTAAGTGAAGGTTTTTATTTCATTCTAGAAAAATGTACATAGAAGAATCTACTTATTTTATATAATTATTTTGGTACTTGCCTGTACCACTGCTGATAAGTAACTGATAATATTAAATGGAATAAGTATGTAATTCCACAATTAGTGGAAATTTTGGCTTTATTGACTAACATTAAAATAACTTGTTAAAACAATTATATAACTTGAAGATTTATTATTATTAAATACTGATTAATCCAGTGTTGTTTAACTTAAATGTTTTTTATTTCAAAAATATTTTTAAAATTATATTTAAGCACTAGTTAAGACTGATGATGATTGTATTATCAGCTGTTTGCACTTAAAAGTCATTTGTCTGGAGGTAATGATAACTGTGACTGAAACTTTGATTTCAAAGAACAAGATTTTATAAGTATTTTAATTTACACATTTTGGGAAATGGTAATTCTGATATTAGACAACTGATAACAATATTTATAGTTACAATAATCAGATTCTGCTATTTGATATATTATCACATTGATTAAATATGAATTATTTATATTCTTTATTTACTATTAAGATTAGAGTTTTTGTTTTATACTTTTGTAAATATGTATGAAGATAAATATATATGTGAATGATATTGGATTTTTGTTAACTTTTGTATTTATTCAGAAACTTTTACAGCTTAGATTTATTGGATTTTTTTATAAACCTAAAATTTTTGGCTTATTTTTACTAACTTATCACACAAGGAATAAGTTTAAGTTCATCACACTGGTATAAGTTTGATTAATAGAAGAAATGCATTTCAGGTCTTAATGGCCCATCTTCAGTCTTTTTATTCTTTACAAAAGAAATAATAGATATAAATTACATCACACATAATAATACAGATAATATTTTTTAAATGTTTTTTACTTACATAACTGATTATTAAGCACAAATTGAAATTAAAAATTGGGCAATTGATTGCATAAAATTTGTATAAAAATGGGTGCTGTATAAGATAAAATTAAGGTAGATAAGTAAAAAACTATTAAATAAATAAAATTAATAAATTAAAAAAGATTTCCTATAAAATAATAATAATTGCTATTACATGTAGATGGGTAAAAAATTGAGGTGGATAATGTTTAAAACAAATTTTTTTTAAAAAAATAAAACATAAATAGAAGTTAAAATTAGATTTAAAAACTTTTTTCAAAAAAGTTGAAATTAAAAACTCTTAAAACTATTATAAAAGTAAAAGTTTTTGAACAAAAAACAAAAAAATACTTTTCTCTAGAAATCAAAATAATTATATATATTCTTCCAAATATCTTCTTTCTAATCAACCTACTGATGGTTAATAGTTTATTTGAACTACATTAAAGTGGGTTTTAATTTTATTAATTTAGGTCACGAGATAAAGATGTAGACAAAGATAGAGAAGATGAAGAGGATGCTTATGAACGTAAAAAATTGGAGAGAAAATTAAGAGAAAAGGAAGCTGCTTATCAAGAGGTATTGATTTATTTTTCATGTCATTTGAAAAATATCATTACTACGTTAATTTCAAATAAATATATCTTATAGATATAAGTATTTATTTTAGCTCTTTATATAAAATATATAAAAAATCAGCATTTATTGCATGAATTACAAAGTAGAGTCCAACTTAATATAGTTGTTAACTTTCATCATTGTATAATTTTAAAGAAATTGATTACTAACTTACTATAATATCAAAATATTTATATTTTTCTTTCAGAAACTTAAAATATAAATATATGGTAAAACTTCTCTAACTCAAATGTCTGCAACTCAAATATTTTTTTTTTTCAACTCAAAGTACTTGGTAGGTCTGAATGGAATAGCATAGGGATTTAACATCTCCAACTTGAATTTTTATTTAACTCAAATTTCTCCAAGTCAAAGGTTTTCATGGTCCCTGACACTAATTTATGTTAATTTCAATTTCCCTGACCCAAATTTTAATATTTATTCTATCCAAAGTGATCCTAATTATTGGATTTCCATGAAATTTCAGACAGTTGTATCTACAGTCCAACACCTATTTGCAGACAATGTTCCAGTCCAAAATGCTCTCACTTTGGACTGGAATATATGATAAAATATACGATACATCTTGTTGAGATCTCTGTACCTGCAAAACTGATTCTATTAGTTACACTGAACACTTTGCTGAAAAGGTGTTAGCTTTTTGTTTTAAACAGTGCATGTATCAAAGATTCTTAGTATAATGCAAGAAAATAAAAATGTATTCAGAATTAGCATTTTTCACTCTATTGTTCTCTAACTTGAATCATCTGTATTCAAAGTTTATTTCTGCCCATTGAAGCTTCAAGTTAGGAAGTTTTACTGTAATTGAAACTTAGTAATTTAATTATTGTAAAGGAAAATGTCAAGGATGTAAGTACTGCACTGAAAGTCATTTCTTAAACCACACTGCCACAAAACAGCTATTTTTTTTCGAAATTGCATCATTTCTGTATTTCTGTACTATGACATAGTTTTTATAATCATTGTATTATTTAACAATTAATGCAATTTATATATATATATACAGGTAACCCCCATATAACACGGCACTTCTACAGCATGGATTCACTCTAACACAGTTCGAGAATTGGGAACATCCCCCGTATAACACGGTGCTTTTATAGCACAGGTTCACTGTAACATGGTTCAGGAATTGGGTAAAACCCTCGTACAACATAAAATGTAATAAAGGGTGCGTTCTTTTATACCTCCACGTAACTCTGCACAAGCATTCTAATTGTTTTCATGGCCTACTTTGAATGCTCTTTCAACAAATAATCCATTTAATGGTTAAATTTTACAATTGGGACCCTTCTTTTGCCTCTAAAAGCTCATTTTAAAATTATAGATTCCTCCACATGATACTATCGATAGTGCAGGCGCCACAATCTTTCTTTCACCGTTGTTCCTAAATGCCTACAAAGAGCAGTGCACTCCTGTTGCAGAGCGACCGCTATTAACGAATGCACCCAAAAACTGTTACCAGTTGATGATGCTCATGCTGAGATCATCATATAAAATGAATAATCCTCTAGTAAAATATTTACTTAAATAAGTATTTTAGCTATGAAAAAAACGAATAATAAATCCGATTTAAATAAGGATTTAACAACATGTCTTAATTTTTGGAACCTAATCCCCCTTTTTGCACTAGTCCTTTGTTTCGTATAACACGGATTTGCATAACACGGCAATCTTTTGGAACGTAACTCCTGCGTTGTATGGGGGTTACCTGTATATATTTTCCCTTTCCAGTAATGAAGAACAAATGTGTAAAAAGTGGCCTTGCCTTTAACCTTATCTTTTCAGCTTTAATGTTCAATTAATAATGATTATAGTATGGAAAATTTTTATTAAATTGCATTGTAAAATATATAGCATTCAATATTGAAATTTAGTCAGTTAAATAAATTTAAATTCAGTAATTTATCCTTTTAAACTATGTTAGGAAATTAATTTCATAATTTTGATTTTTTTTAGTTAAATAATACTAACTACTATAAGTATAAATTTTTTAAACCTTTTTCTCTCACCCCCTGATTTCAATGTAGGTGATAATGAAATAATTTAAAAATGAAAACAAACTTAAAAATAAAAAGAAATTAATTTTTTAATTTAATAGTACAATTTATTGATTTTAAAATTAATTTTTTCATTAAGATTATCAAATTATCATCATAAATATAATACCGTATTGGCTTGAATACTAATTAATTAATCAATGTTTTTTCCCAATCTTAAAGGAGCAAAAAATCTCAACTTATATTCAATTTAACTAAAGTTTTTTGATTTTGGTAATGTTGTACAAAGTTATACTGGCACTAAAATTTGATACATTAGTTGTTTAATGATGCTAAATGACAGCCAAGTTGTGACTTGTTGTGCTGCATGCAGCCATTGCTGGATTAAGCCTCTAGCAGGCCTTCGACAAAATTTAAATTGGGACTCTATTTAAATAAGTTGCTTCTAAAGAAATCTGAAATAATGTCACTTAAAATTTTTGTTATATAATAATTATTATTATTATATTAATAGAGAATACAAACACTAATACAATAATAATTGTATAATAAAACAGTTTTTGTGATAACAAAAAATATATAAAAATATATATAATTATATTAATCAGCCTTTAAAAAATTTAAATTTTGTTTTCGGATTTTCATTTCAGAATATCGATCAATAATATCTTTGTAATCTAGCCTTTTGAGTGTATTTTTTCTATAGCAAGAGTTGTTTAGCCTTTCCTGCTCTATTGGATTTCTTAAATTTTTAACTCATTTTAAAACAAAGATCTCTCTCCTGTTGCATTACTTACAGGCATAGTCAAGTAAATTCCTAACAATATTTTGATATTAAGAAAAGAAGATGCAATGTCATCTAAATATATAAAATTACTTGTCCTGACTGACTGAGTCACTGATTCATCATTACCCAGAGCAAACTGCTGAACCTAAAGGGGTGAAATTTGGTACACAGTTAGGTTACATCATAAAAATGCACACTAAGAAGGGATTTTTCGAAATTCCCCCATGGGGGAGAGGGAGAGCATTAAGGCTTAACCGGAAGAACAGCTTCTACTGTACTATTTTAGATGCGATTTTTTGTTTTCAACTACGTTTAGTCTTCATTGAGTACTTAGGTGTATTAAATTGATAACATTTCAGACATTGTTATAAATATTTTTATATACAGTATTTCGATTTTTTAACCAAATGTTCGAATCATTTTAAATTTGAATTTGTTGTTGCATATTGGTTCAATTATAGAATGATTGTAAACATTCCAGAAAATTGATCAAATTGAAAATAGTTTGTTTGATTCTCAGCAATTCTCATCATTCTTGGTGGTAGGTATTATATAACAATTACTATGGTTGTTGAAATATTGAATATAAATGGGGTTTGCTTCAAAACCCCCATGGGTTAAGTCACAGGTAACAGCTAGTTTTTTTATAAACTGGTACATATCATTTGGGCTTTGCAAATATTGTTTTCTTGTCATTAAAATAAATTCTGTCAGTTCATCATCTAGTTCTTCAACATCAATGTCATTGAAGTAAACTTTTTTTTTTATCTTACTTGTACAATCCAATACATTCTTTAAATCTTCAAATTCTATAAAAAAAATACTTGAAATATTTTGTTAATTTCTTGATATTTTTTCTGTTTTTTTTATCAATTTTGCTATAAATTTTGACATATAACATACAATGTATTTATTTAAAAATCTGCTTGACCAGTTAAATTGATATCTTTATCTGTTTGGTTTTTATCAAAAAATTGTTTCTATTTTCTAGGTTTTTATTGAGTATTAGCATCAAATTAGGTGTCTACTATTGCTAATGTCTCATTTTTAATTTTATGTTTACCTCTAAATCGTGGGTATTGTGATAAACTTTGCAGCAAACTTGTACAGGTCATTAAATTATTACAGGCTCTTGTATGAATTTGTTTGATACATTCATCCTTGTCAGTATTTTGTTGCAATAGCAACTGTAGTTGCAAACAGACAAACAATGAATAGTGAACATACATGTCCAGTATACATATTTGAAGTTATTGCGTATATATAGCTCACACACACTATACATTGGTACAGTATATAGCACCAAATCTGATTTTATTACTTCATCAATTATTATGATGATATTTGTATTATTTAACACAATACAGCTTGAACCTCATGCCAAATATCATATATAAAAAGAAAGTAAACACACAGAGTGTGGCATTAAGTTTTTTTATTTTTGTTAGTGCTTTCAATAAACTTATTATTAAACTTATTAAACTTTATTATCTTCAGGCAAACGAAATTTAAGAATAGAACACAATGTTCTAATGCAAATGGACACACATTATTTAAATTGAAATTAAAATTCGTTATGAGCGTGCTTAAAATTCAATTGCACTAGATGTTGTAACATCATGCAGCACATACACACACATTATAGGTGCGATGAAAGCTGTATATCACTATTTAACCATTTATATAGGGCAATCCACACACTGGTTGCACATGTGGGTTGCCTATTGCTCCTTACAACCTTGGAATCATGCAACACTCCATGCTAGTTAACTTATTCCCTGGTATTTCCAACATGTCTTGGGTCAAAACATGATGACCTTGATCTTTACCTGTCGACCTGAGATATCTCATTTCTGCATCAGGGAGTTTTTGACACTAGATGTTATTAGTTTGCATAATTTTTATATTAAAACTAACTTCTGAAATATATTAATATATANAACGTTTATCCTTGTTACTTTATGCCTGGGCAGTCTCGCGCATACGTGCTAGTTTACAAATAAAAACAAATAATTAAGAACTCGAATAAAAGATATAAATTTTTTATAAATATATATATTTGTTTTTACATTTATTATATATATACTTTTGTTTTTTTGTATATTTGTTTTTACATTTATTAATATGTCTATTTTGTTTGCAAAATAAAAAATAATTTTGGACGATACAATAGCCACGATTATTTTTTGCTAAAATGTGGAATTTTTGTTAGGCTTGACATCGACAAAACTTCAACATGGAGCAACACGCAATGGGAAAAAATTTGACATCAGATAGGTTAAGCATGGAGTGTTGCATAACTCCAAGGTTGTAAGGAGAAATTACCATAAAAAATGAGTTTCCAGTCATTGCAGAATCTGAGTAACATTGTTTGAGTCCATAGTGGGTTGCAGTTACATTTGAGCACCATTTTTGCAAGCTTTGTGGTATGCTTTCCTTTCACCACATCATCCTGGTGCTTAGTTAAGTGGCTAGCAAGCATTCATGTTTTTTTTTTTTTTTTTTCTGTAATAACTCGGGATATAATTCTTCAATTGAAGTTTTCGACTATTTACAAAAATATTTTCAGTCGAAAACTTCAATTGAAGAATTATATCCCGAGTTATTACATAAATTGTATAAATATGCAAATAAGTAGGATAACTCAAAATTACCACCAGAGGGCTTGAAGCAGTTAAAGTATGAATAAGGACAGTATGGTGAGAAGAGTTCTTCAAGTTTTTAATGTAAAGTGTCAGAACCTACAATAGAAGGCTAACACTTGATCGTTTTTAACATTGTGACGTCTCTTTTTACTTGTTTACCTTTGTTTTTTAAGAAGTTATTCTTCAACAAAAAAAAAAAAACCATGTTAACTGTTACTTCTGGTGCTGTATAAAAAAAGGATTGTGATAGACTCAAAAAAATATTTTTGTAAATAGTCGAAAACTTCAATTGAAGCATTCATGTTGTTGCCCAATGTACCTTATGTTCACCCCATTACGGGATTCTCCAATGGTACAGCATAGATTCCCAAGTTTTCAAAGATGGAGAATTTATCTGAATCATTGCAGATAAGTCTGCAAAATTCAGTAGCAGAGGAGGGCAGGAGAAAGTTATGTTGCCTAAATATATGGCAAATGCATATGGAATGGGATTTGAGGTACAGTAATATCAACTACTGACATCTCCTTGTCACTGGACATTATTTGTTCTAACGTAAGAAACATCTTGTCTGTAATCCTTCCACACTATGAGGATATCATCAATGTAATGCAAGTACAACAGAAGGTAGTGGATGACAAACAGGGAATTGAATGTTCTGTGCTCAATTTCTCTCATGATTGGTTCTGCTAGAACAGCAGATAAGGGGACCCATGGGGACCCTCTGTTTCTGTAAATCAATTTTCTCATTGAAAGCAAAAATGGTTGTGCTCCATGATGAATATCAACACATCATGTATATCCAGTATCTGTTGAACACTAAGGCCCTTCTTGAGGAGTAGAGAAAATTGAAACTTGACTTCACAATTTGTTAAAACTCATCCATCGTCGTTTGTTTTGATGCCACTTTTCTGCCTATTGAATACAACTGCTTGATAGTGATATCATGTACAGTCTGTTCATTTATGCTGAAACTCATCAGGAAGGTATTCATGTCTTGGAAAGACTTGATGGCTCAGTGGCATGTTATCCTCTGGGCAAAAAAGGGCAATTGCCTGGGATCCCCACTAATGGCCCCAAACCAATCTTTTATAAACTCATTACTGTAGTAAGAATATTGAAATTTAAATTTGGTGCTATTTTGGGAGAGACTAAATTCCCAGTGTGGCACAGACACATTAGGAATCTAGGGTCTCTCTAGAGGTTGAGTTTATCCAAAAACGTTCCTGAAGAAAAATGTCTGAAGTCATCACTGTACATGGGGTTTCCTAATTCAAATTTGCCTGAGTCCCATGAAGCTATAACACATCACTGTGATGATCTCACTAAAGCACTCAGCACTACATTTGGATCAGTGTCAGAATGTTTGTAGTTGACTCTTTCTCAATTGTATCAACCTGCTGACTCTCTTCATCCAAATATTAACTAAAGGTTGAGAAAATGTCAAGTTTACAATAGATAGGGCTAGAAGAAAACTGTTATTCTGATTTATAAATACACCAAAAGGAGATAAAATTACATTGATTTGGCAGACCTTGGGAAAAATCCATTATTCCAAGGAATCCATTGTTCCACAATCTGTTAAAATGAGATTCTACTGTAAATAGTTGAAGTTGATTATTATAAAATCAGTTGGAATTTATATTATATATTGTTGATATTTAACATATTTGCTTAAAATTACTGTATAAATCCACCAAAGTGTACATTTTAAAATGAAGTCATAATTCTCTCTCAAGCATGTTTTGAAAACATTGTGTCAGCAAAAGTTTTAAGGTAGTGCTTTATAAGTTCATTATTTTGCAATATAAATTAAATATAAAAAGTATATTTTGGCAAAATAAACTACTTTTTATCAGTGTGAATGATTGGATAGCATTTAAAAGTTATGAAAGAACATTTACTTTGAAATATCATTAGAATTCTTTGAGTTCTGATTTATATTAGCCAAGTTGTTTTTAAAAAATATTTCAAATGAAGCTATAACACACCACTCAGTAGACTCTGTTAACTGGAACTCAAGCAACTGGCAAAGTTCAAGAAATAATACTGAAAATAAAAATTAAAATAAAATTGATTTCTAATGGAAATGTAAGTCTAAACTTGGCATACCATGCTGTAAGTTCATACTTCGTGTACCCAATGCTTGTCTCCCATGCCTGCCATTTAACTAAAATTGCACAATGTATTCACAAAGCTGTTTTTATAATAAAACTGTATTGCATTAAGTTAAGTTTGTCTTAATTTGCTTCCAATTACTATATTTCAATATTATCAAGTCAATACAAAGTTTATGGTATGGTATACAGTAGTATGTATATGGTATTATTTAGGCTTATTTTTAATTCTTTCAAGTGGCCAGAAACTACATTTATGTGGCATTTACCAATCTGCATAGGTGCTAGTTAACTGATAGTGTATTGTATCTATAATACATAATTTATTATTAAAATAGTAATAAATTAAATACACAATTTTTTCATTCAGGCTTATTAAAATTATAAGTTTTACTAATGAAACAAATTTATTCAAATATAATTTACAATTTAATACTTTCAGATTATTAATAAATTATGTTAATTATTAGCTATAATTTAAGAAATTATTAAATAGTATGTGTGTTTATGATTATTTAAACTTTGACAAATTTCTAGCGATTAAGAAATTGGGAAGCAAGAGAACGTAGAAAAGGAAAAGATTATGATAAAGCCAGACAGAAAGAAGATGATCAAAAACAAGAAGAGGTAATTTATATATTTTTAAATTAAAATTTAAAAAAACTACCTGCATTTGAGAATTTTTAATTTGGACATTTATATACAGTTATGGACTTTCACAAATCCATAACTTTATTTTAAATAAATTAGAATTGATATTTACTTTTAATATTTTGTTATTTTATTTTCAATCAAATTTTAATTTATGCTCATCCTGCACAATCCAATTGTTTCTATTGTGGACTGACAGTCATGGTGGAATTCCAGATAGGGTATTTTTATTAGTAACTGTGCGTTAGGAGAAAAATAAAAATAATGATCTGAAATAAAAATTTAATTTATATTCTCTGCTTGGTATATGAAGTTCAAAATTAATGAAGTAAATAACACAAATACAGATGATTATTTTAAATATATTAGCAATCAATATGATTCCTATTGTATTATATCATGTAAAACTGTCTTATAAGGCTATGTAAGTTAAAAAATAATTTTTATTCAATTCTTGCATTGGATTGATGGGATAAGGTAATGCAAAGCAAAGGTGATCTTTAAGAGATGCTTTCCAGGAGGGTTTTTGATGGAAACTGGTTTTAGTTAAGTGTTAGACACATTAAGAAAATTCAAAAACTGCATATGGCCAGCTGTTCAGTCAGGTGTGAACACAGAACTGTCTGTCAGTGTTTGGTGGTTTTATCCATTTGGCCACTTCTGACATTCACATTCCTTTTATATTGCTATTTCAATTTCTGTGAATTTTTCAAATGTGTTATTTGTAATCTAATTTAGATACATTCAATCACAAAATTATGAAGGTTTTAGTTTCCAGTCAAGTTTCATCTTTGGCCACAAGTAGTCAAAAATTATTGTTTTAATAAAATTTATATAATTTAAAATTGCATTGTTTTTCATTGGTTTTAATAATAGAATTGATTTTATTATTAAAATTTTAAAGCGGCTATGAATTTTTCAGCTCCATTATAATCTTATGGGATTTTTGTTGTTAGGCAGTACATACCTGTATTATAGTGCAAAGCTAGAAAAAATTTTATCAAAATAAGATATAAATTCATTTTTGACATTTCTATTTAGGCTTCAGAATATGCAATATTTATTTATACAATGTACTGTACATATTTTTTCCCTTTTCTTCCAAAACATATTTTGAATGAACTTTAAAAAATATATTATAATAATAATTGTGAAATAGATTTTATTTTATAATTTCATTTTTTAACTTAAAAATAATTTTAACAGTAAGTGTGGAATTAAGTAAATGAAATACAAATTGTATATTCAAAATTTTAAATAAATTTAATGAATTAAAAATAAAATGTTTGTATATTGAAACATCAAGTAATTAAATATCAATTAAACATGACAAAATCATTTGTTATATATATATATATTATTTTTTTTTTATCAGTTATGAAATTTATTTCTGTATTAAAATAATACCTGAAAGTTGATGTGACTTACTATTTTTAATAGTTGAAAGAAGCAAGAAGATTAAAAGAATTTTTAGAAGATTATGATGATGAACGAGATGATCCAAAATATTATAAGTAAGCTACATATTTTGACAATCTAAAGTATTTTGTGTTTACAAATCATAATGAGTTAATTTGTTGATTAGGGGCAGTGCTTTAGCTAGAAGACTGAAAGAGCGAGAGAAAGAAATAGAAGCTGATAATCATGATCGTCGTAAAGAAAAGGAAGAACTTGAAGAATTAAGAAGACAACTTGTAGAGAAAGGTCATCCTGATCCTGATGGAGAAATTGATAGAGTAAGATTATTTTAAATGAAATTTTTATTAATGAAGTTATTAATATCAGGTTTTTTTTTTCCAAATAATGAATTCATCATTAACTTTTATAGCTACCTGTTTCTATAACCTCTCTTTTTTTTTGTTTTAACTATTGTATAAATAATGATTTTTTGATATTTATTTAATTAAAAAAAACCATTTACTGTTGATATAAATAAGCTTAGCCTCTGGTAAAGAGTTGGAAAGAAAAAATAGATAGCAATTGCTTTATTGTTATAGTTATATATATGACTGTATATGTTTGTCTGTTGAATTTACACTGTAAAACAAGTGATGATTTTTTTTAATACATACTAATTGTATTAAAAAGTGTTCATTCTATAATGAATCTTGTGATTTTGACAGTATATTTTTAGGAAAGTAAACACTCACATTATAAGATACCTTCTGAACATTTGAGAACCTTTGAAACTGGTCTCTAGCTATAACTGATGTCCAAGATCTATGGACATCAGTTTGGGAAATAATAATAATAATATATTTATTAGTCATATTAGGCAAAAGCCTGTTATTACAGGGAGTTATAACATAGAATGAACATTGATCATAGTCATAATTATAACATATTCAGTTTTTATCAGTTAGTATTATTATATACAATGTTCAGGTCAATTCAATTTCATTCACCCTTTTAGGATTGATTACAAAAGGTTTTTGTATAATTATATAATTTATAAATCATAGCAGTATTTGCACCTTGGAAGAAACGATACATTTGATTTTCTTCTGTGATGAAATTTAATTGGTTTAAATCCATTTTAATTCTTAGTTCGTAGCCTGTTTTACATCCACAGAAAACGTGATACTTAGTGAATAATTCTTGACATCTTGGGCAGCTACTTTTGGAAATTTCATAGATTCTATTATTAATTAAAACCATATTGCTATTTAATCTCAGTTGAATGAAAAACTTCTTGACTGTAAACGACATATTAGATAACATATAGTTGTTATTGAAGGGGTAATTTAGCAATATTTTATACCATTTAGGCTCTCTTCTCTTATGTATTTCTTCGATATCTTGAGCTAATGAGATTTCCAGTGCATTATGTATTAGTTGTTTCCTTATAAAGTCGCTAATTTCTGAATTTTCTAGTAATGGAGCTATAGAAACTCCGTATTCATTGATTATATTCTTCATTTGACTAATCCAGGTATTTTTTTGGGGTTTTTGACACATTTTTTTATACAGCAAATATAATAGTTTTGTTGGAAGGTTGTTATTGTCTCTGATCTTATATAGAAAATTAACAAATCTTTTGACAAAAAAAGGAGCCAATCTAAATCTGCTGAGTTCGATTCTAAGAGCATAACCAGCAATATTGTATTCCAATGTAAAAATTTTTCGAATAAACTTATTTTGAATGGATTCAAGTTTCTTATAATTTGTTAGACTCCAAATTGGTGAGGCGTAGGATATCGCATTAAAAATTATAGAGGTAAATAGTCTAAAATGACTAAATATATTTTTAAGCTTAATATGTGTACAAAGTTTCACCATATTATTAATCAGACAATTTGATTTGTGAACGACTTTTTTATATTGCTTTTCAAAAGTTATTGTAGGGGTCAGTATAATTCCCAAAAATTTTATCTCTTGTACTATCTCTAATTGTACTTTGTTCATCGAGAATGATGTGCTTTTTTTTGCAAGTTTGGATCCATTACGAAATATCATGACTGAGGATTTTCTTGGATTGATGCTTAATTTTAATATATGGAAATATTTTTGTATATTTCTAATTTTTCTTCGAAGACCTGCTGCTGTGGGTGCGACTAGTACGATATCATCCGCATATGCTATAGAGTGGATTACTTGGCCGTCTATATAAAATCCATCATCTTCTTTCTCAAAACATTCATTTATGTCTGCTAGGAAATAGTTAAAAAGATGTGGAGACCAAGGGTCACCTTGAAGAAGACCTCTATGCACTTGTAATTCTGGCCATTTCTTATCAAATTGTTTAATGATTACTTCGTAGTGTCCGAACAATTGATCGATTATTCTAATCATACGTGTATCTGCTCCGTTTTTGCTTAACTTCTCTAGTAATACTGCAATAACCACTGAGTCATATGCTTTTTCAATGTCCAAAAACAAAGCGAAGACTTTTTGTCTTTTTTTATATAATTGTAATTGGATTAGTGTCGTCAATGAAAATAATGCAACTTGGGTGCCTCCGTTTTTTGTAAAGGCAAACTGTGTATAATTAAGTAGTTTATTATTCTCTGTCCACTCGTTAAACTTTTCTGTTAGTACTGCTGTAAACAGTTTGCGAAACCCAGACAAAAGAGCGATAGGTCGATAGTTGGCTGGACAGCTTCTTTCACCTTTTTTAAATATCATTTGGAAGATGATTTTATTCCAATCTCTAGGTATTGTACCCGTATTATAGAAATTATTGTATAGATTAGCCAATAGATGAATTCCTTCGATCGAAAAGTTTTTGATTATCGCGTTGGTGATGGAATCGGCACCTGGAGCGGTTCTCTCTTTTATTTTTTTGATACACCTGTGTAAATTTTCTTCATTAAATATTTCTGTTAGTGGTTCAGTCGTAACAGTTAAGTGTGGTATACTCTGCACATTGCATTTATTTTTGTAGGAAATGGAAAATTCCTCAAAGTATTGTTGCCAATTATCATACGTTACATAGCATTTAGGCTCAGGAGTTTGCGTTTTATTTCTGACTTGTTTAATAATATTCCAAAATTTTTTTGTATCTTTAGCTTTTAATAATTGATCACTCATCTCAGAATAATATTTCCTCTTTTTGGCTTTAATTAGGTTTTGATATATTTTTTTGTTTCTTATATATTCTTTCAGTGTTGACTCAGAGTTTATTTTTCTAAAATATTGTAAGCTACGTTGTTTTTTAATCTTATGTAAGTAACAACTCTTATCAAACCAAATTTGTTTGGGATGTATTCTATTAATGTTCCAAGAGGTTTTATATCGAAATTGGTCTATTATATTTACTAATTTATCATATTTCTGCGCAGCCGTTATATTACTTTCTTTATATTGTATCATCAGCAATTGATTGTTGAATTCATTTTTGAATTTTTTCAGATTAAAACTTCTTTTCATCTCTCTTCTGTAGGTTCGATTATTTTTTTGAGTTTGCTCTTCCCTGTTTTCGTATGGGGCTCCATTGAATTCTAGTTGTACAGGGAAGTGGTCTGACATATCGATATTCAAGACTCTAAATTCTTTAATCATATTTAGGGCAGTTTCCGAACAAATTATATAGTCAATCACAGATTTACCTAAGCTAGACAGGTAGGTATATTCCGCAGGACAGTCGCTTGGGAGTCGTCCATTCAAAATATATAGATTATTATCTTGTACAAATTCTAGTAATGATTTTCCTCCTAAGTTACTTACTTTATCTTTAGACGTTTTGATATTGTCAATAATTCCATTGTTATTTTTGTTTTTTGTATCCATTGCTTCACCTATTCGACTATTAGCATCGCCCCCAATTATCCACAAATCTGTAATATTAGTTCTTTGTATTATCTTATTTTGAATTTCTACTAATGTTCTCTTTTTATCGGAATTTGGTGGGAGATATATGAGTATAATTCCTATACGTGTTTCTCTCCAGCGTGAACTTAGATATTGACAGAGTTCTAATTCAGCTAGGACGTAATTGTTATCAGCAATCCAAAATCTCAATTTACCTAGATTTTTATTAATTAACAATAACAGTCCTCCAAAAGGTCGACCGAATTTACTATTTCTTTGACCTTTACTTTCCAATACTAAGAAGGTTCGTTCTAAATAAGTTTTATCTTCTATTTTTAGCTGGGTCAACCAAGTTTCAGACAAACCAATAACTGTATTGGAATTCAAGTATTTATAAAATATATCTGTGTATAGCTTTCTTTGGATACCTTGTATATTCCAGAATCCAAAACGAATTTTGTAATTATACCTTTTTGTATATTCACCTTCTTCTAATGGTAGTCCAACTACTAAGTTTGTCAGCTCTATTCTATGTCCTTGTTGGTTATTATTTTCTAGTATTACTAGGTTTATAGAATCTTCTATTCTTTGATTATTCATAGAAATGAAGGATTTTTTGATATATTTATTTGATTGACCCTTTAATTTAGGCCTAAAAAACCCCTTACACGTATCGCTTTTTGTAAGTGGAAATCGTATGTATAGATATTCTCTCCCTTTATATAATAATCATCTCTCATTATTATTTTAATGCCTTTGGCTTTTTCTTGTTGAAATATTGGTATCAAATTTTTTCTCCTCAATCTCGATCTTCTACAGAGATCTGTTTTGAATATAATTTTTTTATGTTCGTCTAAATTGATTTTTGCTCTCTTAGACCAGAATTCTTTAAGTATTAAATTTCTGTCATATGTTGAGGATAGAGCTATTTTCACCATAGGCTTGTATTCATTATTAGTTAGTTTAATTATACTATCTATTGAACTATTTGTTATCCCTAGTTCTCTTGATATAAATTGTTCGATTTC